GCGCTTGTCTCGGCGCTGCCCCGCCGCTCTCCTTGCCCTCCACGACGGCTGTGCTCTGGCCCGCGGCCAGGAGGTGGTGGTTGCAGGTTTTCGGCGGCCTCTTTGCCCGGTTTGGATTGGTAGTTTGGATCGGTGTTTTGGAGGCTAGGGGGTGGTTTCCCATTCAACTTCAACATGATCCAGGGGTTCAATCCCCAAACCACCAGCAACTAGGGGTAAGTTGAGGCGGGTGCCAAAAAAGGGCCGAGCTCTCAGGGGCAAGGTCCAGGCCGTGGTGGGTGTGCCAAGAACAGAGAAAATCTTATAGAGCCCGCGCCGGCAAGACATTTTTTGCAACTCAGGCCTCTTTATCATCTCATATGTGTCAAAAAATGTATACTCGTCGCATGCGAAAAGCATGCTGCCGTTCTCCAAACACAGGTCGCGAGACGCACTGAGGGCCGGGCTGGTCGCGATAAGGTCACGCCAAAGAGTCAATGAAAGGCGGTCGCCTGCGCAAGGTGAGAATGGATCCGCGGGCTGTTGGCCTCAAAAGATCAACACACGCAGTTGTTGCAAGCGCAAGCGAAAACGCGATCGACCAGAAAACATCCTGGGTGCAAGCAAAGCCGAACTGTCTTGCCTACCTTGCTTACCTTGCCTGTTTACCTTGCCTTGCCTGTCCGCTGTATTATTTAGTTTTGTTACCTGATTTTGTTATGGGTCGTTAATGGAAACAATGGATTCTTGTTAATATTATAAGTATATTAATACTTTAGATATATTTATATTGTGTAAAATATATAATATTTTACCATATATATTATTTTTTAAATGGAAACTGCTCTTTGCGTTGCCGTTATTTTTTAAATGGAAATAACATACAGCTCGATTTAACAAAAAATCTGTTTAATTTAAATTTGAATTTAAATGTTTACTTAAAGATTCTTAAATATATAAATAATATTCAACTATTTAAATTAATAAAAAAATATAAAGAAATAAATGGAGTTTTCATAATAAAAAACATATATATATATGTATATATCTTGGATTTATATATTTAATAAATACATTTACAATAAATAATTGTCTAATCGTAATTTTAAACAAATACCTAATTGAATAAGAAGGAATATTTGAAAATATGAATAATTAAATAATAACATCTATTATGTTAAATAAGTTACACTTTGGTTTAAAGCAGCCCTGCCTCAACGAATTGCCAACTTTATGCACGTTCGAACACACCTTAAAACCGCAGATGTTCCGTGCCCATGATTCAACTGGCTCAAGGTTCGCAAAGGGTTGGCTACTATGCGAAATGCACATCAGAGCGATCCAACCTATGCAAAGCCTGCAGAGAACACTAGGGCGATCCTACTCCATTGTAAATTTCCAACCAAGAAGCAAATTAGTTCTATTTAAATATCTAAACATTATATTTATCGATTTATATATTTTAACTACATAAAAATATTTAAATTATATATATTATGATATTAATATCTTCAACTATAATACATCAAAAATACTATTCTACTCAAAATATATATCATTAAGAAATATTAATTAAGATTATAATATAACAAGCAATTCAATCCAAATCTTCAAATCGAGATATTCGAAAACACTAACAACAAAAAAAATCGAGAAATAGAATCTCATATTAGCCAAAATATAATATTAAAAATATAATTATATATATTAATATAAATATACATATAAATATATATATATATATATTTAAAATAAATATAAATATACTTATATCTAACAATAAACATATATTTAGTTTTATAAATTAGATATTTCAACCTTCTAAATAAAATAATATTGTTTAAAAATATATCATATAAATTATAAATATAATTATTAAATATATAAACCTTTAAAAATAAACAAATATTAGTTTAAACAACAAATATTATATGTTAATAACAAAATATATTAATTGCAAATATGATCCATTTTTATATGTTGAACTAATATCAATTTAAAATTTTTTGCAAAAACATACTAATTATGTTTTTGTAATAATCAATAAATATATATATATATAATTTATTTATAATATTTTTCAACATAAAATAGAAATTAATCAAATAGTTAAATAAAATAACAATATATAAGTGTATCTAAATCATTATTATTCTTAAATAAGATATGTTTAATTCAATATTATATTACAGGGTAGTTATATAATTGGTCTCGAGGTTAGTTGGGGTTAGTGTAAGTTGGGTTTAGAGTTGATTTGGACTTGGTTAAGGGTAGGTTCATTTAGGTTAGTGGCTCCAAATCGTTTGGTTAGAGTAGGCTAGGATGGCAGGGTGGGTGTTGGGTTGGTTGAGGGTGGGTTTATGCTATGCTTTGGAGTTGTTTAAAGTAGGTCTGTAGTGGGGGTGGGTATAATCTTGGCTTTGGGTTGGTTATAGTTGGGTTTGGAATGGATTGGTTTAAAGTTAGTTTAGGGCGGCGTTAAGGAATTTTAGAGTTGACTTACAAGGGGTTGGGTAGGGGTGCTTTGGGGTTTGTTTGAGATGGACCTAGGGTTAAGATCCAAAAGCCACGGAAACGTGCGCAAGCCGCCAAACGATGCAAAAATACGGTTGCCGGGCTTGCTAAGCACAAGTTTAGGGTTGAGAGTTGGTCTTGGGTGGGGGGGTTTGTTTAGGGTCGGTTTTGTGCTGGTTTAGGTTGGGTTTAGGGTCGGATTTAAGGCTAGTTTAGGGTGGGATTTGGGTTTGTGTAAGAAGGTGGATTTTAAGATGAAAGGGTACGTTTATGGTCGGTTGGATGAGTTTGGCTTGGTTGATTTACCTTGCCTTAGGGTTGGCTTAACCTGGCTTGGGGTGGCTTAGGGTTGTTTAGGGTTGGCTAAGGCTGGGGTTAGGATGGGTCTACAGTGTGATTGCTTTAGGGTTGGTTTAGTGTGTTTAGGGTTGGTTACGGGTGGGTTTAGGATGGGTTTGGGGCGAGGTCAGGGTTGGGCTTTAAGGTTGTTAGTTTAGGGTGGGATTAGGGCTTGTGTCGAAAGGCTTCAGGGTGGATTTAGGGTGGATTGTGTTGGCTTGGAATCTGTTTGAGGTTGCCTAGGGTGGCGTTGGGCTAGGGGTGGCTTGGGGTCGCTGGGGCGGCTTAGGGTTGATAGGCGGGCTTAGGGTTTTTAAAGGTATGTTGCTTGTTTGTTTTGGCTTGGATGTAGGTTGGTTTAGGGTTGGGATGGCTTAGGTTGTGCTTGGGGCTGGTTTAGGCTTGGATGTGGATTGGTTTTACGGTTGGCTCAGGGTTGGCTTCGGGATTTAGGGCTGGGTCAAGCTTAGCTTAGAGTCTCAGCTTGGGTTGAGGGTGGGGTTAGGATGGGTTCATGGCTGGTTGGCCTTATGGTTGGTTTAAAGTTGGTTTGGAGTGGCTCAGGGTTGGTTAGGGTTGGTGTAGGGCTGGTTTGGGATGGGTTTGCGGGTTTAGGGTGAAGGTTGGTTTAGGGTTGGTTGGGTTGGTTTTCGGGGTGGTTCGGGATTAATGCTGGGTAAAGAGTGGGTCTACGGAGGGTTTAGGATGTGGTGGGTTCAGGGTGGGTTTATTGTTGGCTTGTTGGTTTAGGGTTTGCTTAGTTTGTTTGATTTAGGCTTGGTTTAGGGGCGGTTTTGGATTAGTTCTGGGTTGGCTTTTCGAGTAGGTCTGTGTTCTGTGTGGGCGTGTTGGGTTCATTTAGGGTGGCTTGGCTTGGGTGGGCTTAGGGTTGGATAAGGGATGTTTATGGTGTGCTTAGGGCTCGTTTAGCGTGATTTAGGGTTGGTTTGTGGAAGAGAGACACGCACACACACAGCAGGCCAGCGGTCTTTGCTGCTCCACCCACCGGGACCTTTTAAGGGATTCGACCCAACCCGGGGAGCGCGCGCGCTTTCTTCTTGAGCCAAAGATGCAAGGTAGCAGTTCATGGGAAGTATCCTCTTGTTGGACCCCTACGTCTTGCCGATTCCCTTACAACGTTCTTATCTTGTGAGAGGGATACGATTCGTCTCGTGCGCCATAGCTACCAATTGACATTGCCTATCTTGTGCATACGAACCATCGTACTCGAGGCCAACAACTTGATTCCATTTGGTATAATCGAACTTGTTCCCTGGAATCTTCTGCCTCTGTTTTCACGGGGAAGGGTTCCCTGATCATTTTGCAATGGCCGCGGTTTGAGGAATAGTTCACTCACCTGTGGGGCTTCACGCCGATGCCTTGGCGCTTCCGATACCTTGGCGCTACCCTGATGATCGGCAACCTCGCTCTTTCGACTTTCGCCGCAGGTCTGCAAACAGGTGGCTGTCCATTGGAATCTACGTGGACCATCGGCCAAACCTACTCAAGTGAGACACCTGAGACACCTCTCAAGAGCTGGTCCCAAAAGAACACGCTGAGTCCTGTCCTGTTTCCTTCGCATGCTCAACAGTTTCACATTGGACTTCCACAGGGCAACCAGACAGCCTGCCTACCAGAGGCTGCATCTGTTGAAGTCATGCTGCCATCGTGTGTGGTGTGTTGACAACATATTACAAGTACCCCAAGTTCTTGCTTCACACATGGCAAACAGGGGTTGACAAGTTCGGGCTATTCAAGCCGGAGCTGGTTTCTTACGCTCCTATACGCCCGGAAATATTCGCGCGTGCCGACTTCAGCTGCAGTCTGACTCGAACGCACTCCGAGATCTTATGCCATAAGATGGACACTCGATGTCGAGCATCCATCGAACGAAGCTCGTTAAAGTGAAGCTCTGGGAAACTGCACGCCAAACCCCTGACTCTGGCCAGAAAACCCCGCCTCAACACCTCGTGAACTGGTGAGACTTTCAGGATCACAATGTCCTCTTTGGAACAACAACTCTCAAAGTTGCCAGTTGTCAGTCGGGGCTCTTCCCAGGCTTTCTCAGGCACCCTCTTTGACTCTTTCAGCCTGGCATAGGCCTCCTACCTCGGCAAACATAGAGTGCTTGAGCTGGAATCTGAGGGCCAATCGCCTGAGATTGAGGATGCTTTCTGTACACTCAAAGTCTGCCAATACCTATACGGCTTTCATGTAAGGATTTCATTTGGACGCTGAAGCCCAGTCGGACAGCCTTCGTGGCTGCGAATTCTTCTTTCGTCGCTTTCGGATCCCGCTGCGGCCTTTCATGTCAAAACTAGGGATCCCTGTCCCGCTCTTTGAGGAAGGAACCCCCAAAGCCGGAAAAAAAGGAAGAAAAACGCCCTCCCAAGGAAGGCTTGCCTTTTGTTTTCCTCCCATGTGGCTGGACCCTCCTGTCGCTAATCGAGATTGACCGGGGCGCACGCCAGGATGCGCCAGGCTCTACAGGTAGAAGAGGCTCTACAGGTAGAAGAGACTCTTGCAGAGAGATGGATCGGGCTCCTGACATCGCGAGCTCAACTTTGACCCGTTGGCCTATGGGCAACATATTCTTTTGCAGCCTTCATTATGGACATTCTGGACGTGCGCTGGAAAAATCAGAGATCAGTTGAATCTCAATAAAGGGTTTTTTGCAGCCTTCAAGGAACATTCTGGAGGTACGCTGGAAAAATCAGAGATCAGGGGTTTTCAGACAAGCCTTCTTCACACCTCCAAAAATACCGCTGGAAGGTGGGACGGACGGCGGGCGTCCTGCTTGACCACGGTGCCAACATGAACTGCCAGCTTCCGGGCGTACATCAGCGGAGCGGGGAGCCGGACCTGAGCAGCCGCTTGCGGCGCCAGCCAACCCCAGGAACCCAGTGAGCTCCGCTGAGAGTCTCGAGCGCTCTTTTGAAAGGGAATCTGAAAAGAAACCGGCAGACCTCACAGATTTCTTGTGCTGTGCAAGTAATCAAGTAGCCATACAGTCGCTTGGATCCGCGGATGAGCACCCACTCGTTTGCCGCAAAACGAAACCTGGTCTAGTTTCAAGTGGATACAACAGGATACATCTCTCCCGCGATAGCCCCATAATGTTGCTCGAGAATTGGGACTTGTGTGCTCGCTCACTCCACTCGGAGCGCGGCCGCCCTGTCGCTGTTGAAGTACATCATACAAAGCCTGGCCAAAAACACGCGACTTCACCTTCCAGAGAGTCGTCTCCAGTCAAACGTCATCAACAAAGTAGCCCGTGTCTTGACCTAAGTCAGGGTAAATGACCAATACTTCCAGCAGAAAAGGCCGGCTCCCCGATACAACAACTTCCTCTACCTCATGATGCGGCCGTTCTTCTTCTTCCCCTCCGCAGACAAATCCACTTCGCGCCCTGGGACAAACCCCCGTGCCCCAAGGATCGTTCCCTTTTTCTCAGCCTGTGAGTAAGTTGCTCAAGGAAGTCCAGGGTCATGTCCTTCCCATTCTCCAGGACCTAGGCCGAAACAGACTCCACCCCACCCCACCCCACCCCACCCCAATCCACCCCACCACACCCCACCCCACCCCAAGCCACCCCACCCCACCCCAACCCACCCCACCCCACCCCAACCCTGCCTAGTTCCCTCTTTTCCGGCAAAGAAGTGGCTCATTGCAAAGATGCAAGAAGATGATGCCAGCTGCACAAGGGTTCTGAGAAGGAAAGGTAGATCTCAGGAGGGAACACAACAAGGAAAGAAGTGGCTCATTGCAAAAATGCAAGAGGTTGATGCCAGTTGCACAAGGGTTCTAGTTGAGAAGGAAACACGAAAAAGGTAGCTCGCAGGCGGTAACACGATAAGGCAGAAGGTTTGAGGACAGAATGCTTGAAGGGAACGACTGAGGCATGGAAAGAGTTGACGATGCGTGGAAACTTCTTCTGGCCCTGAGGCAGGACAAACTTTCCGCATCTCACGCTACTCGCATGAAACGCAGAAGGCTGATAGGGCGGAAGGGACTGGAGTGGGAGAACTGACGAACGGCACCTCGTTCCGGACACTCGCATACCCACAACAAAATCACCAGAAAGGTGGAAGGTTGTAGTGGGTGGAAAGGGCGGCGGAACCAAGCTAGCTACCTCCGCACCTTCCCACTCTTTGGCGAAAAAACAGTAATGTGCGCAAACTTTCAAGCCAAGGTCTCACAAGGGTAGAAGGTTGCTGGGTAGAACGCCTTAGGGAAAAACCGATGTATGAAAGTAGGCGACTATGTCTGCATCTCGGTTCGGGCGCTTGCGATCCCTAAGCGGGTTCTGGGCAGACTGGAGAGGTGTACCAATGGCCAACTACGAATCATAAGCCCACCGAGTATCCCACAGGCTCGGAAAAAGGCGGACCATGACTCGATTGTGTGGAAGGGCTGTGCAACGCAAGAGCGAAACAGGACTGGGGGACCGGGTAATCGAAATGAGAAGCGAGAGACTCAGACTCAGAGAGAAGAACGGAGCAAAAAAGTGGAGCGAGTGAGGAGAAAAGCGAGGAACCAGGGAGCTAGCCTTGTGGGCCTGGGTTGTGACACCAACGCCCACAACCCCTCAAGAAACCTTGTTGACACAAGGAACAGCTCAAGGTAGGCGCCTAACGTCTACTTTTGGTGACTTAGTCGGCTTAACCCTCTGGAAGCAGAGTGACAATTGTCGCTGGCTCCAAACCGGGCAAAGACGCATTCCAGCTGATTCCCTCTCAGGTCCCTGCCGAGTAGTGGGCTGGGACTGCGGTCCCTTTGGAATCCTTGATGAACGCCTGACGGTCCAGTACTGAGCAGGCACTTTCATTTGTATTCCCATCAAACCTGGAAAACACACAATCTGCCCAGGGAATGGCACGGCTCAAGAGCAGAATCATTCAGTCCCATCGGCGCGTTTTGTTTAACTCTCGCGCTTTTCGCACGCGCCTGGCTGACCAGGTAGAAGTTGGGCACTTTGCCAGCGCAGAAGTCTGGGTTGTCCACCACAGTCCCTGGCAAGCCGACTCTCCGCCGGGTGTTTTCTCATGCCGGGTATCAGTTTCATCTCGGGGCCCAAGCTCACAACCCAGAGCAACTCTCCTCAGAAACAACCCAACTTCTTGACAACCAGAATGGCCCCCAACATAAGACTGGTGGACACTCCGTCCAGTCTGCCTTTTTGATTTAGGGAAGGCAGGGTCTTTCAAGCATCGCCCATGGAGGCCCGCGAAACCTGTCGACGTGCCTTGCCGAGTTGTCTCTTTCAGATGCAGAACCATGCACCCGTGAATGGCATTGGAAGATCTTCCACTGAAGGATGCAGACTTGAAGGATGCAAGGATGCATTCTTGATTGGTACCATACCATCCTGCCAGTTGCGCTCATAGAAGATATCGGAGGTGCCAGATGCTCAAAATCCGCCAGTTCGAGCGTGCAAATAGCAAGAGTTCCTCAATCCTTTTCTGCCGATTCGAACGCATTTCGGCAAACCATTTCCGTGTTCCCTTCTGCTGAAAAAAAAACAACAACACAGCACGTCACCTAGGCTCAGCGGGGTTGCCTAGTCTGGAATGTCTGGGCTCTGGGGTGTTTTCTGGGCAATTTCCGCTTCGGATCCGCACATGCGCAGTCCCCTTTGATTGCCAGTCAGCGGCAGGAATGCAAAAAACAAAAGCTGCATCACGTGGGTTAAGTGGAAAAAAGCTTGCTGGTGCAGTGTCGGTGTGCTTGTTCGGCTAGTGATGGCTGTTAGCGGCTTGTTCTTGCAGCGGGCTTGGTGTGATTCGCTTGACTCAACTGCTGTTCTACTCTCGGATTGAAACACAGGTCTAAATTCATCTGCAGTCGCTTTCTCGTGCAAGCCAGTCCTTCACGTGGGAAGGAAGGACACGGGTGTTCCGGCAGATCTCATGCAAGCCAACTCGAGCAATGCAAGCTCGAAGCAGCCCGCTTGCCGAAGCTGAATGCCTATCTTAGGGCTTCTATGCATTTTGCTCGAGGAAACCCCCGGCATCAAACATAAACAAAGACTATGCAACAAGGAATCAGTGATCAAAAAATGAAACCAGTGGCTGCTCATGTTGTTGCAGAGTTCCTCCAAACCTGACCTGCGCCAAGGTCTGAAACGCTTCCAGCTTAAAAACCCCGAGCGAACCAACTTGCCTAAGAATCCACGACGAGGCACGCAGTGGCGCCTGAACTCGGATTCTTCCCAGCCACAGCTTTGTCCTGGGACTCTGCGCCGCCTCGTCGTAGGGATGCTGAGAAACGCACACATGCGCACATACATAATCATACCTATGGAATGCACATGTATGTGTAGCTTAAACATATGTGCGTGTGTGTCTGCACACATACATGAGTAACTTGTTGAGCGCCACAACACCACGATACATGCACTTCCTCATTCTCCCAGATTGTTCAGTGGTTTCAATGCATGCGCGATGCCTTCGCAATGCCTTGGCAATTCCTTTGCACACTCGTTTCGTTGCGGAAGGCCTATTTGGAAAATCGAAGAATATCGGCAAATGTTAAGTTAAGCAAAGTGCCTCGCAGAAAACCCATACAGGATGTGTCTGTCACCAGACCTGCCACATCTCATGCAGTCACCCAATGAGTCCCGCAAATGCCGCGGTACCTAGGGCGAAGAGCCGCAGGTTGCTGGCTTTGGCCTCGGTTTGCACCCGACCGAAAGCGCAGAAGGCATAGGCCGGACATCTGTCCCCGGACACCTTTCCTTCCCGTGTATCTATAAGATAAGCAACATGCCGCTGGTCTATCTATCAAATAAAATGAAGAAAAGACCAATTAGAAACTGCTTTATTATTACTAGGTATGCCCCAAATTCCATCTCCTGCAAACGCAGAAGACAAAATCCAGCGAAGCTTGGGGCTTGCGCCACCGTGATGAAAACGATGCTGGGCCTCGGCACATCTACACTCGAACTCAGTCTACCTCTGTGTAGAATTGCATGACGTCTGGTATCGCAGTAATAAATTTGGCTGTGGCTCAAAATTAAACAGCTAGAGTTACGCAGATTATAGTATTTGGTTCCTTTTTACCAAGGCGCCATGTTGGTACATTTATTTGAGCCACAGCCATTTAGCCCAGTCTGCGTATGTGCACAGAAGAATCGCTGGCCATCCATCAAAGCTGATCGCTATGTTTTTTTTGTCAAGCTCAGGACCCCCTCTTGCAAAAGGCCCGGTCTTCTCTCCAATAAAATTGGTATACAATTGCCCTTCTTTTGGCAGTTTACATATCAACTTTCTACGCACAATCGCAAAGTTGGTGGAACGACCACAATGCTGCTCCGCCACACGCGGTGACTGAAGGACACAAGGCATTCTCACTGAGGCATGCGGCGTGCGGTCAGCTTGGGTGCTCTTCTGAAGAACTTTCAGTACTTCCTGGCTAGACTGGCTTTGCACACATCATCTCAGCCGTGAACCTTGCAACACTTGGGCCAGATTAAACAGGAACCCTAAGACAAGGTGGCACCACAACCAACCCGCAATCAATGGACCAACCCAACACCCAAAAAAAAACAATCCCAAAACCAGCCTATCACAACTTCATCACGGGACAGCACCACGGGCAGGGGGCTTTCACGGGGGGGGGGGGTCTGGCAAATCCGTACCATATGCTTGCACGTTGTATGTATATGGACTAGAAATCTCATATCAGGAATGGATCTCAGTTGCCACGAGGGACCACCCCACCCACCCCCCCACCCCCCCACCCACCCCACCCAGCCCACCCAGCAGACATGAACCGGACCAACCCGACACTCGAAACCAATCCCAAACAAACCAGCCCGGCCAGCCCCAAAAAAAACACCAAACCAACCCCTATCACAACCTCATCATCAGGACAGCGCCCTTTAAAGAGGGGGGGGTATCCGTACCATATGCTAGCACTGTATATATATATATAATATCGCTATCTCATATCAGGATCTCGGTTGCCATGAGGGGACCCACCTACCCCACCCACCCCCCACCCACCCCCCACCCACCCCCCACCCACCCCCCACCCACCCCCCACCCACCCCCCACCCACCCCCCACCCACCCACCCCCCCCCACACCCCCACCCCCCCCCACCCACCCCCCCACCCACCCCCCACCCACCCCCCACCCACCCCCCACCCACCCACCCCCCGCACCAACCCCCCACCCACCCCACCCAACACACCCCACCCTACCCCCTACCCTACCCACCCCACCCCACCCTACCCCACCTACCCACCACCCACCAACCCCACCCCCCACCCCCCGGACCGCACGGACTTCCAGCCCTACGTCAGTGCCTTCAACGCCTTGAGCTCCACTTCGGCCAGCTGCTGCTGCTCGGGGTTCACCTTCGGATCTTGCCAGCCGCAACTCGACCGATGCGAAGTCGGAAGATGAGAAATAGAATGAACCCAGGGCTCCCCTAGGATGGTTTTAAAGGCTTGCATTCATCCAAGGGATGGTTTACGAGGGTCATTCCCTCATTCCCTGAGCACCAGGAAGGCAAAAAGAACCGGTTTTGCATTTGTTAAAACAGCATAAGGACAGATGGAAGGAGGGCCTTATCATGGTTGGTTGCTGCGCCGTGGTTTGTGCTGCCGTCGGATTGCCCATACTGTCACTGAACAAGATACAACTGCCTGCCGCTCTGTCACCCTCTATAATGCTTGTGTTTTTCTCCATCTTGGGCTCTTGAGCTCAACACACACAAAACATCCTCTTCGCGTTTCGGGCGTCGACTTGAAAGGACGCCTTTCTTCAACCCACCACCCAGGGAAAGACCCTGTGTTGTTTCTGGGTCGAAGAAGGAACCAGTCTTACCTAGTGGAAACCATTGCTTGTCTTCCTGAGAGAAAAAACACGATGACGGGCATTGTTTTGCGAACGAACCCCCAAGAAAACACGGCTGCATCGTGTGTGGACTGCGTTGGTCGCCAAGCACCCCACAGAGCCACGATACACGATGATGGTCTCAGGCAAAACTTGGTCGTTGTCGCCTCAGCACGTCACCGCTTTACTTGGAGCGCACGAGGTCCGATTCAGCGCCATCAACTTTCCACATTCGAGACGCTCAACTGAATCGGTGCCACGCAGAATTCGAGACGAATCAACCAAGCTCGGTCAGGGTGGACATGCCATAACTTATGCCGTGTCCAATTCAGTGTTTCCGGACATCTCTCAATCTACAACCCAGGCTTGAAGCGAGATTGACAACATCAAGGCGGGAGGAAACATGGCAAGTGACAAGCTGAGAAAGAACCTCATCTGACATCTGGAGTCAGTGGTCTGCTTGCCTTACCCCGATATGTGCTCACACCAATCTTCAAAGCGCGTTGGACTAAATATTCACAGGTGAAGCAAAAGAGCCGCCTCGCCCAAAGTTGGGGACCCAAGTCCTCAAGCTACACTTGCCTTAACATGTTGCGAACAGAGCGCCATGATCAGTGAACCTCTAGGCCGCCGGGCAGGCATACCTGAGCAGCGCATCTCGAAACAGCTCCTGCAACTTCTGGGTCATGCCTCGGCTTCCGCTCGCATGCATATCCGGTGGCGAGCACGGCTCCAATGAGACGTTCAAGACGTTTTAGCACCCCGCGGCCATGCTCACCAATCGACATGATGCGATGTCCAAACTTGACTTTTGTGCTCCTTCTCCAGGCAGGTGGTTTGGTGGTGTCTGTATGGGAAGCCCACTAAAAAACCAGTCAAGAAGGGGGTCCGAGCCCTGTTGTTGATCAGAAAAAGAAAAAGAAAAAAGCAAGCCGAACGAATCCGCCAAATGCATCCTGATTCCATGTCCAACAACCGTGGGCCCCTGGCTGCTGCGCCAGGTACCAGGCTCGGCCTCCTTGCCGAACTTGTCTTCTCTCAAGCTCAGTGCTGACCATTCTCAGGGGAGTCAAAAGGGATTTCCTGTCCAGGTCCCAGGTGGCTCCAAAAAAAGCGGGGTTGCAAACCGCCCAAGACCGCAGATCTCTTCCGCCTTCGAGGCACTTCTTTTCGCTTGATCACTCTGATCCGATCCCATGGCCTTCTTGTCCATCATGGCGGCTTTGGAGAAGTGCTGCGAAACTCGGGGCCGGGCAGGCGGGCAGGCGGAGCGGCGGAGCGGCGGAGCCAACAGGTCGTTGCTAAGGGCTTTGTGAGCACGCCCGTTGCACAGCAAACAGAGAAATGCGTTCCTTAGATGGTCCGGGAGTTCGCCAAAGAGTTCGTAACCCTGGAGTTCGGGGGCCTTGCAACCCATAGCAAGTGGGTTCCCAGGGCTACTAACCACTGAACTCCCGGACCAACTCCCTCCGATTCACCTGGAACCTGACAGGCAGGTGAACTCGGAAGACCATGAGCTCCGCTTGAAGGGACCGGGTGAACGTCAGGTCTCACGTGAATTGGGTATGGGTCAAATTAAACCACCAGGATATGGACCGCAGGTTTTGGCCCATCCACTTGCCAGGGCCCATTTGGGGGTTACCCGATTTTTGACCCGCCAGTTAGGGGGAGGGAAGGACCTGGTAGGACCGTCCGGCCCGAGTCCGAGCCGAGTCTTAGTCTTGCCGGGTCACAGGTGTTGTCCAGCGTCGCCACGAGCCCCAGGGTGCAGCTGGTCTCGTGGAGCTCAATGCCCACCACCATGGAGGGGGTCTCGCGCGGTTTTCGCGGGGACAGATAACCCATGAGAACCAACAAAGGATACCCCCCGAGCCCAGCTCAGCTGAAGGCCGCAGGCAACACGAATATACAAATTATATACGTATAAGTATATACGTGTGTTAATATGTGTATATATATATATTATGCATCTTTAGATCTGAAACACACGCTTCAGACATTGTTTCGCAGACTCGCTCGGGCCTTCTTAAAGTCAACAAAGTCCTGGGAGTCCTGAAAGCCACGGCGGCGATCGGACGCCAACGTCTGGCTCCGCGCTGCGCTCCGAGAGAAATGGGAAGCTCCCCAAGCGGTACCAAGGGAAGGCGCGGGATATGGCCCTTCATTCAATCTGTGGAGTTGGTCTATGGCATTCGACCACCAATTCCTGGGGGAAATGGCAACCACCCATCTCCGTTTGGGTCTACTTTGGGGTAGCTCAAAAAGTCACTACCCTGGTCTGTGCCGCCATTCCTGTCCTCCGCTTGCTCAGGGGGAATGATGTTCCAGAGCGGTGCACCAAACCTGGGCTGTGTGGGATTTCCGGTGCCCTGAGCAGCGCAAGAAACTCAGATTCCTAACCAACTCGACCTTCCATTCACTCGTCCACACACATCCACCCATGCACTGAGGCATCCAAACATCCACTGAGGCATCCACTCCCATTCACTCGTCCACTCCACGCATCCACTCCACTCATCCACTGAGGCATCCACCGAGGCCACTTAAATTTTTACGCATCCACGCCAGCCCTTCACCTGAGACCAGGGCTTCGCGTTGATCTGGAGCACCACTCGGCCTCGGGTCAGCTGGTTCGAAATGGAGATTCTCAGCAGGTCCTCATGGGAATTCCTCTTGCAACACATACGCCCTGTACATCCTTGATGGGTCGATTTGTCTGACTATCTCATGACTCATGCAAGGCGTCTTGGCAGTGTACTTTCCATGGAGCAACCTAGTGTGCTCCAAGGATGACAACCATGCTGACCGCGACTCACACGTTCCCCCGATGTCTAAAGCCATAGAGTTCTAACTTCGAGCACAGAGGCTGTGTGGCGCAACATTTTGGCAGGGTGTTGCGTTGGGCCAGGCGGGGTGTTGCTGTAGGGTGCTCATACAGGGTGCTGTTGAGCAGGGTGCTGCAGCGTGTGACCAAGAAGTTCAGCAGTGTGCTGTTGCGGATGCTTTGCAACGTGTTGTTGAAACATAACTGAGCATGAAGCTGTTGCAGGTGCTGCTAGAGAGTGTGACTGAGAGTCGCGCGTGGTGTACCAGCGTGGTGTAAAAGGATTGCTGCAGCAGGGTGCCGCAGCTGCTGAGTGGGGAGTTACGCAAGGTGCTGTTGTAGGGTGCGCTTGCGGAATGCCGATGCGCAGAGGCGGTGGGTGCAACCAAAAGCTTAAGGCAGCACGCGATTGCAGGCGTGAAGGGTGCCGTTCACGGTGCTGTTGCTCTATTCCTGCTATTTGAGACCCCATGTTTGTTCCATTGGGGTGTCCAGAAGCTCCACCTCACGCCTTTTCCCTGACCCAAGCATTTCCATGTCCCGTGCTTCAAACCGCATCAAACCACGCCCCGATTCGGGGCGATGTGGGGTATGGGTCAAACTTAAACCACCAAGATATGGACCGTAGGTTTTGGTCCATGTTTCCATTTGCCAGGGCAGCCCATTTTGGGGTTGCCCTATCTTTGACCCACAGCCATTCGGGGAACTGCTAACTCAGGCCGCGGCTTAGGATCTTGGCGATGTTCTGGCGCTTGCGGATGGTCTCGCTGGTCACCACCTGTGAGATGCCTTGGCCGCCCAAGGCTCGCCGCAGAAAAACTTGGCCATGGGGCAAAACCCAAATCGCAGTGAACATCCCAATCCAACCACTAAAATAGGTTCTAAAATAGGTGAATTCACCTAGCCCAAAATGGGATCCCATTGGTTTTGACCCACAGCCACTTAGGGCTGATGGACCCGTTTCATCCCTGTGATCCGCAAAAAAGGCTGAAACAGCAGCTCAACATGTCAGCCATCTGCCAAATGAGTACGTCTCTTTTCGGCGACCCCGCAAAATGGCATCTTTTCCTTTTGGTTTCCCACTCAAGTCCCCAAAAAGGCGGGTTTTACACCTTAAAATACATCTTTGAGGACTTCCTGCTGCATAGGTCTGCTCAGGGTTGCTCTTGCTTCATTCTTTTTGACTTGGCTCTTTGTTTTTTCTTTGTTTAAGTGCTCCTGCTCTTCCCGTTCTATATATATATATATATGTATTGACTCCTCAAACCCTCCTAGATAGTCTATGGTTGCGCTCAGCTCCTGGACCTTGCCAGGGGTGATTCCCCTCGAGAATCTGTTTAGAATTCCCTGGAAGGAACAACGAAGGCTTGATGCTCAGGGGATACTCCCCTACCCAAGATCAAAGGGGCCATGTGGCTGAAAAGTGTCTCTCTTGTTTTTTAGAGCTCAGATCCCGGTTCCCAATCCACCTTCTCAGGCTTCTTGGGTGCTTGCTCATATGCTGAGCGGAAGGGAGCGTGTGCCGGAACGTGAATCCAAGTGGTATCAAAGGAGTGCGTCTTCCTGAACCTCAAAGTGTTGCGCCACATCTGCACTTGAAACTAGGAACCCTACGGCTTTTGTTTGTGGTTTTCCCTGGAGCACAGTCGCATTCCATCTCGACTCTAAAGGTTGACATCGCTGGGCATCAAACAAATGTCTCAAAGTGCGGGCGCGCCACAGGGAAACTCGGTGGCCATGGTCCTCTTGAAGACCATATAGGCTTTGGTTTCCTGAGTTGCACAACGGGAAAAAGGAAAGAGCGAGTCATCTCCTCATGGTGAGGGCGTGGGAACACGGTTCAAACCACCACGGCCGACTTTCACCGCACCCCCGCCTTGTGCGGCATCAGGAGGAGGACCAGCTCGGGCCGGTCTGGCATCACTGTCTTCAGGGTCTGCACCAGAGCATGCAGCAAAAAACCCGATGCAGTCGGCTGAAACCCATCTCAAAGTTTACAGTGGTAGTGGCGCCTGAAATTATCCAGAGACTCTTTGCTGTGCTCCGGGCGTCGCCTTTTCAAGAACTAGCAGTTCTTATTTTGGGTGTCGAACACATGTCAACGTAATGCCGGACGCAGCTCGCTTCTTCCTTCGGGGGAAAAAACAAAAACAAAACAGGCAAAAAAACCGGGGAAATAAAGAAGAAGAACAAAAGAAGAAGAAAAAAAGAACAAAAAAAAAAAGAAGACAAAAAGAACAAGAAAAAAAAGAAAAAAGAGAAAAAAGGAAAGAAGGAAAACAGGCCGCGCTGGGCCAGCGCGCCGTGTAGAGCTGCCCCATGGTGTCCAGGACAATCCGCGTGGGCTGCGCGGTGGTGAGGCCAAAGGCCACCTGCGCGATGTCGCGGAAGGAGCCCAGCCAGATGTCCACCACCTGCTCGTCCTCCTTCGGATACACCAGGAGCCTCAATTCGCGCGCAACGCGCCGCGCGAGGCGGCGGAAAGAGGCGCGGGAAGAAAAAGAAGTGCGCGGAAACAATGCGCGCGCGGACGTGGCGCGGCGCGCACGTGGTTCATTTCCGTGGAAGCCGAGAAGTGCATTTGTATGCCCGTCCATTGGCGTCCAGCAGCAAGTTTGGAAACTTCCCGGGCCTGGAGTGGACATGTTTCATCGTTCTGGGGCCACGTTTGCGGAAATAAGGAAGCGAACGAACGAACAAATCCGGGTCTCTGAGCACTGAGTGCGCGACCTTTAGGGAGTTTGGGGGTGGCCAAATGAGAAAGCGCTTGATTACGAGGTCTTTGAACAATCAGCGGCCGGAGGACGCTGGATGTGGGTTCTTCGCAACTGCCACCTGCTCGCTTAGAAGGGAAGCAATGAGAAGGCAAACGCAAGCAAACCTTTCTTGGGACATGCATGAAACATCAAGCAACTGGGCAAAGGATGGAAGGATGAAAGGATGGAAAGATGGAAGAATGGAAGGATGGAAGGATGGAAGCGCTGTCTACATATGTGTGAGCTGTTGGCCAAAGCATGACTCCCTGTCTTGTTCGCTACCTTCAGCACCTCATGGATGCATGTAGACAAATGGCTCAAGTGGAAGCACTTTTGGATGTTGGTTTTTCCTTGGACCACCTTCTTTCGGCCGCCAATCCCTAGGTTTTTGGAGGCAAACCCGCTTTCGGGCACCACTCTCGGGGAACAGATCCCTAGGCCCACGGTGGCCAGCTGAGGGGCCACTTCTCCAGCTTCACCGCGCACCTCAAAAAAAATCACCCGACAGAGCGCGGATGGTTTTTTGTTCCACGGTCGGGTCCGGGAGTTCGCCAAATGGTCAGTAACCCTGGTGTTTGAGGGGCCTTACAACCATTGGGTTACAGCCAGGGCTCTACTAACCACTTGGCGAACTCCCAGACCAACTAAGGGTCGGTTGTGATCACGTACCAGCGAATGTGGATTCCAATTGTGAAGTAGGTGGCTTTTCTCGCCTGGAGGGGGCTGAATTTGTTCCACGGGTGCCACATGGCCATGGGTCAAAATCCAAATCGTACCCCCAGTGAACATCCCAATCCAACCACTAAAATTCACCACCACCTACCCCAAAATGGTACCATTGGTTTTGACCCACAGCCACATCCTCGGGTTGCCTTTTGTTGCAAGGCCACAAGCGGCGCCATTCGCTTCTGTAAGAGCAGCTTTGGCCTGAGGCCCGTGCTGCAGGCCGTTGCGGAGGGATCTCTCCCAACTGCCCTCCTCCACTGTTCCGAACTTCTTCTCCTTGTATGCCACCTGGAAGCTGTCCAATTCTAGGTCAGGTGCCAGTACCACCAGGCAAAAAAAAAAAGCGAATCGTGTGTTTTGTGTTTGTTTGCTGTATTTACGTGTTTTGTGTTTCCCCTTCTTCTTTTTTTTCGGGACTCAATGGGATGCCCTTCCTGTGCGTTCAAAAATAGGCAAAGCTTCAGCCAGTCACTCGGAGCTCTGACGCTTGCCTGCAAGGAGCTCAGGAGGCGCCCTTCAACCTGACCCAAGGTCACCAAGGACCCTCTGCCATGGCTGTGGCTCAAAAAACCGGAATTCCAAAATGGCTTGCCCGATCGGGAAGTGGAATGGACCAAAACCTGCGGATTGCCCCTCCTGGTTAATTTTGAGCCACACCCATATGCCTAAACAGAAATGCAAGGGCAGTCGGCATGGAAGAAATGACAGTCACCCCTTTCTGATCCGGACATGCCACCGGCATGCCGCATAGAAAGCATTAAGTTACAGGCACTCACCTTCTGAACCCTCGCCCGAAGCAGGGCTTGCCCTTCACAACACATGCCAAAGGCAGGCACAAGGTGATGCAAAGCCGGTGTTTCATATAAGCAATATGTTAAGAGATGAAGAAGAAAAACAACTCGAGGGCGCAGTCCTTTAGCGCGATCGCTGTGTGGACATTTTTACGCGCAACGGAGGTGCATGTGGAACCCCCTCCCGGTTGACCTGAAGCTGACCGCCCCATGCCTGCAGCGGCTTGCTGGGCAGGTAGCAGCCCCACTCCTCGTTTTGGGTTTCGGGCGGGATGGCATGCGACGGTCTCCGCCGACCCCTTGTGCTCAAACGGGGAGGCGCACGGAAAGGGTGGATGGTCATCATTATTGCAGCAGCATGTCTTTCTTATACATATATGAAGGTGATGCAGAGGAAGCCACGATGACAGTTATGATCGCAATCCCTCATCGTCATCATCATCATCATCATCACCATCAGCGTTAGGCCCAATTGGTGATGCACAGGATGCATTGGTGCTGCTGGACATCGCTGCCGGAGATGCTAGGGATGCGTAGTGATGATTATCACCGTTGCTACTAGATGCTAGGGATGCGCAGCGATGGTCATCATCATCACGATGATTGTTGCTGGCGATGCTGCGGATACGTAGTGATGATTACCGCCTTAGTGACTTAGTGTTCGTACTATATACACGTTAGGCACAGTTGGAGACGCCGGCGACGCGCAGCGACGACTATAATCATGCTGATCATCACTGCTGGAGATGCTAGGGATGCGTAGTCATGATTATCATCATTGCTGGAGATGCTGGGGGTGCGTAGTGATGGTCATCATCATGAGTGATGATTATCATCATTCTGCTCATTGCTGCTGGAGATGCCAGGGATGCGTAGGCATCGCTGCTGATGCTAGGGATGCGTAGCGATGATGATCATCCTCCTGATCATCGCTGCTGGAGATGCTAGGGATGCGTAGTGGTGATTATCATCGTTGCTACTGGAGACGCTAGGGATGCGTAGTGACGGTCATCATCATCACGATGATTGTTGCTGGCGATGCTGTGGATACGTAGTGATGATTATCGCCTTAGTATTCTTATTATACACATTTCAAAAGTTACGTTAGGCAAAGTTGGAGATGCCGGCGATGCGCAGCGACGATTATCATCATCCTGATCATCACTGATGGAGATGCCAGGGGTGCGTAGCGATGATTATCATCATTGCTGGAGATGCGGAGGGTGCGTAGCGATGGCCATCATCATCAGTGATGATAATCATCATCCTGCTCATCGCTGCTGGAGATGCTAGGGATGCATGGGCATCGCTGCTGGAGATTCTAGGGATGCGTAGCGATGATTATCATCTTTCTGGTCATCGCTGCTGGGGATGCTAAGGATGCGTAGTGGTGATTATCATCGATGCTACTGGAGACGCTACATCATCACGATGATTGTTGCTGGCGATGCTGTGAATACGTAGTGATGATTTTTGCCTTAGTATTCTTATTATACACATTTCAAAAGTCACGTTAGGCAAAGTTGGAGATGCCGGCGATGCGCAGTGATGATTATCAACATCCTGATCATCATTGATGGAGATGCTAGGGATGCGTAGTGATGATTATCATCATTGCTGGAGATGCGGGGGGTGCGTAGTGATGGTCATCATCATCAGTGATGGTTATCATAATCCTGATCATCGCTGCTGGAGATGCTGGGAATGCGTAGTGATGGTTATCATCGTTGCTACTGGAGATGCTGGGGGGTGCCGAGTGATGGTCATCATCATCAGTGACGGTTATCATCATCCTGCTCATCGCTGCTGGAGATGCGCTGGAGATGCTGGTGACGATTATCATCGTTGCTACTGGAGGAGATGCTAGGGATGCGTAGCGATGGTCATCATCATCACGGTGACAGTTGCTGGCGATGCTGTGGATGCGTAGTGATGACCATCGCCTCAGTATTCTTATTATATACATGTCAAAAATAACGTTAGGCGCAGTTGGAGATGTCATCACTGCTGGAGATGCTAGGGATGCGTAGTGATGATAATCATCATTGCTGGAGATGCCGGGGATGCGTAGTGATGTTTATCATCTGATCATCGCCGTGGTGATAATTATTGCAGCTGGAGATGGTTTGCTTTGCATCATGCTCATCCGAAACTCGCTCGGATGAGCATCTGCTCATTGACAGCTGGCGGAGTTTGCTCGCTAGACACATGATCATCTTCATCATCACCATCACCATCATCATCCATCGCAGCATTGGCATCATATCCTGTAGTCATCGTCATGACGATCATCAGCATCCTTTCTTTTCTTACATCCCTTTCGCATTTGCTCGCTGATTTCTTGTTGTACTTCACAGACGACGATAATTAAATTGGCTTTAGACCATCTTAGTCTTATGACTCTTCTTTTCCAAAATCGCGTTAGGCGCAGTTGGAGATGCAGGGGGTGCCACGCTGGAGATGCTGGGGGTGGTGACGCAGGGGGTTCTACGACGATACTTAAATTTGCTTTGGATCACGCTCATCCGAAACTGGCTCGGATGAGCATCTGCTCGTTGACAGCTGGCGGAGTTTGCTCGCTAGACACATGATCATCTTCATCATCACCATCACCATCATCATCCATCGCAGCATTGGCATCATATCCTGTAGTCATCGTCATGACGATCATCAGCATCCTTTCTTTTCTTACATCCCTTTCGCACTTGCTCGCTGATTTCTTGTTGTACTTCACAGACGACGATAATTAAATTGGCTTTGGACCATCTTAGTCTTATGATCCTTCTTTTCCAAAATCGCATTAGACGCAGTTGGAGATGCAGGGGGTGCCACGCTAGAAATGCTGGGGATGGTGACGCAGGGGGTTCTACGACGATACTTGAATTTGCTTTGGATCATGCTCATCCGAAACTGGCTCGGATGAGCATCTGCTCGTTGACAGCTGGTGAAATTCGCGCGCTAGACACAGGAGCCTCAGCATCATCATCACCGTCATCACTATCATCCATCAGCATCATTGGCATCATATCATGGTAGTCGTCGCCATGACGATCGTCAGCATCCTGTTCTTTTCTTGCATCCCTTTCGTACTTCCTCGCTTATTTCTTGTTGTACTTCACAGACGACGATGATTGAATTGGCTTTGGACCATCTTAGTCTTATGACTCTTCTTTTCCAAAATCGCGTTAGGCGCAGTTGGAGATGCAGGGGGTGCCACGCTGGAGATGCTGGGGGTGGTGACGCAGGGGGTTCTACGACGATACTTAAATTTGCTTTGGATCACGCTCATCCGAAACTGGCTCGGATGAGCATCTGCTCGTTGACAGCTGGCGGAGTTTGCTCGGCAGACAGAGGCTCCTCATCATCATCATCATCATCATCACCGTCATCATCATCATCCATCAGCATCCATGGCATCCTATCGTAGTCATCGTCATGACGATCATCAGCATGTTGTTCTTTTCTTTCGTTCCTTTCACAATTATTCGCTTGTTTCTTCAAATACGTCACAGTTGGAGATGCAGAGGGCGCTACGCTGGAGATGCTGGGGATGCGTAGCGATGCTTCTCATCATCACGATCATCGCTGCAGGAGATGCTGGGGGTGCATAGTGATGACTCGATGGGGATGCGTAGCAAGGGTCATATTTAGCGCACGTCGCGGCAGCTAGTCGCCACGTCTCAGCGGCAGCATTGAGAGGATGCTCCGATGTAGAGGAATCTTGGAGGATCGACTGAGGGGTGCTGCACAAGGCGTCAGCTGCGCGGCCCGCCCTCTAAGAAGGCTTCGCAAAAGAGTTCCGGGCTGCGAGCGCTGCAGTAGTTGGCGCCCCTTGCATCGCTGCAATCGCACGCCAAACTTCTGCAAGGATGCTTTCCTTCCGCGTCGCGCGCGTTCTGGCAACTCGCTGTCAATTTCTACGCACAATGTCTTCCAGCTGCTGCTAAGCATGCGTCGCATGTCTGCGTTCCGTTCCTGCTGCGTTGCTGTCACACGTGCCTCCTAAAGCACTGTTTCGGCCGTGATGTCTTGCAGTTTGCGCAAGTCCAAAACCCTCGTCGCTTCTGATTACATGTCTTGCGTTTTTTAGACATCGCTCGCGAGCGCGCCATGCAGCCGCGCTGAAGTCTTGCTCTTCTTTTGTTCTCTGCAACTGTAGCACTCTTGGGTTTCCTTGCAATTCGGACACACGCACCGGTATGTTGCCCTGCTGTGCTGCCAGCTCTTGTGGAAGGCACCAGTGGGCTGCCAGCATTTGCAAATGCAACACTGCCACGGATGACCGCTCTGTTCGCGCCTGCCAACACACTCCTTGCAAACACGGTCACCGTCGTCGCGCTTCCATTGACCAGCTGCGTAGCCCCGTGGCTCTTTGCGTTCTCGACACTCGCAGCATGGCTTTTCAATAACGTACTCTGCTCGGATTTGCTTCCAGTCTATCGCCTCTCCTCGCCATACGCGGAGCAACAGATTTCGCCCCACGTCCTCCCCGCGCTGAAAAGGCGCAAGGGCAAAGGGACGAAATATGAGTAGGCGTTCTCGACTTTCGACCCGCGTGACGGCGACATAACATGTCAAGGGTTCGCCTCCGGTCTCCAAGTCGAATCGCGATGTCAGCAACGGCTCCTTCCCGCACGGTTAGGCCTTGCGCTGCGTGAGCAGTGATCGCGAAGTACGGGCACAGTGGGAGCTGCCTTCGCGACACCTTGAGCTTCGGATATTTCCGACGATGGTCTAAATGCCAGACGCTGCGAACCACCCATGCACAATGGCAAGGAGGTCTCCGGCTTCACGATCGTGGCGTTGCAGCCAGGTCACCTTGTCTTTGTCCAGATGGCGATTTGCTGCTAGCACCTCAGCCGAGGCGCGATCTTCTGCGATAGCGTAGTAGACTCTTGCGTGCGCGCTTGCGGTTCACGTGGTATGTCACGTTGTTGGTGGCGAAAATACAGGTCGACTCGTGGAATTCTTGTGCCAAACGCGGATTGCTTTATGCCAGGGCGACGAGTGCTTTCGAGCGTCGCTCTTCACGACACTTGTGACATTCTGAGCGCAGGATGCGTGCTGGCTCTGCGTGCTCTGCCTGTAGTTTTTCGCAGCTTGCGTTGCCGCAATAGAGCGAGTGCGTCGGATGAGTCACAGTCCTCATCCTTATCATCTTTCTTATGATGGTCACGACCTGTATTCTTCGGCAACATCGGTGATGCAGGGGATACTTCGACGATAGTTAAATTTGCTTTGGACCATGCTCGTCCGAAGCTTGTTCGGCTGAGCATTGGCTCATGGACAGCTGGTGGAATTGGCCCGCTAGACACTAGTACTGATTCTATGTGGAACGCATTTGTGACGTTAGAGAGCGCGTCGGATGAGCATCCGAGCTCTAGTGGGCCGCATCACAGTCCTCGTCCTTGTCATTATTCTTATCATGGTCATGACCTGTATTCTTAGGCAGCATCGGTGATGCAGCGGGTGCTACGACGATAATTAAATTTGCTTTGGACCATGCTCATCGGAAGCTTGCTAGACACTAGTAATGATTCTATGTGGAATTCATTTGTGATGTTAGCGTCGGATGCGCCGCATCACAGTCCTCATCCTTATAACGCTGTAAGACCGTCAAAAACTGCTGTGCTGAGCGGTGGGCTGTTGTTCTGCTTTTGCTGTGGCTGGCTCGCGTGCTGCGCGGTCCTTGCTTTTTTCCCGTTGGTTTTCGGGCCTTCTGGCGCGCGCGCGCGACCCCAGCCACAAAACGCTGCTATTTACGGTGTTTTGTTGCATTTGCGTTTCCGGGCTCTTTTTGGGCTGCTCTCTCTGGGGCTTCTGGCGCGCGCGCGCGACCCCATGTCAGCATTCTGGGTAGGGGCCCAGCTGGGGCCCAGAAAGCTGGCATCCCCGGCATCATCTGGGGTTGGGGTGGGCAACATGCATAACCTATCATAGCACAGGATACGTGTCTCATACAACAAATATGACATGACAAGGAATAACTTCAAAGAGGCGTAGCCGGCTAGAGGCCGCAGGCCCAGAAAATATGGTACTGGTTTAGTCTGGCTGTAGAACCTGGTTTGCAGAAAGGTGATGGAAGTCAGAAACGCAAACGCCGAGTCCCGAAATGACTGTAGAGGATTGTGAGATATCCTCAGCCTCTGCATCTCCAGCTAACCTCGCAGCCGTGCCCAGCCCACAATCCACTCACCGCGTGCCTTCATGACAGTCTGCTGGGTGCACATGTCCTCAGCGCTGGGATCGCTCACTGGCCCAAAATGGTGATGCCTGCGACAAAGAAGCACAGACATGAAATGACTGCCACAACTGTCAGCCCCCCACCCCCTCGCGCCTTTTGTGACAGTCGCTAAAATGGGTTTCACAGTAGAACGTCAAGGAAGCGAGCCAGGATCCAATGGTTGTGATAGCAATGTTTGTTGTACGATGTTCATGGATGAGGCTGGTAATTTTGCAAATATATCATGCAACCTGAATCACTGCCTGGAATGCACCAGCAAGTTTGGAGATGCATATCTCCAATCTAAAGTGATACAAAAAAGATCGATCCATATGGGGGTGTCTTTTTTCAGGGGACCCCAAAATTGTGGTTTTCTCCTATGGTTTCCACCAAAACCGGTGTACCCTCAAACAAAGGAACCACTCTCATATGAACTTGCCAGTCCCACCCAAAGCTTCCCACAACTGAGTCGTCTGTCTTTCGCGTGGGTGATGATGGCCTCATAGCGGTCCTGCATGGAGCACTCAGATACGCCCAAAACTAGGCTGGAACTAGGACCCCAGCAAAAAATGATCTTTTTTGCCTGGTGAGTGGAAAAAAGGGACCCCAAAAAAGCAAAAAAACAAAAAACAAAAAGGGGGGGGGAGCTAATTCTGGGGAAGAAATGGGGCCACCGACGAGGCAAAAACAACTCATGCAGTTTATCGGTCAAAAGGCCACTTGGCTGTGGGTCAAAAATGGGTACCCAAAACGGAACCCTGGTAAATGGAAACATGGACTAAACCTGCGGTTTGCTGGTGGTTTCATTTTGAGCCACAACCACTTGTCTTCCCCTTTCTTGCAATGCTCACTGAGCACTGCACACTTGGCCAAGCGAATGTGCCTTGTGTTTGTGTGTGTGTGTGTATCTAGAATCCACACGCCAACTCATGTGCAGGGGGAAGCGGGCAACTGGTTGTTGTCCCCTGCCAACCGTAAACATCCCCTCCACAAGCTCATATGCATTCACAACAATGAGATCACATACAATCAGTCGGTGTCAATGACCGCATCCATGCTCAATACAATCGTGTCTTGGCCTTATTTGCTGTTGCATCTCAGGAAAGCAGTTGCCGTTGCCACCTGTCCAACAGATTCTCAACGACAAGACCGCCTTTGCCAACTCCCTGCTGATAGATTCCAAAGCTACCCTTCCTCCAAAAACGTAGCACTTGCGGGTACCTGAAAAATCCGTTTCCTCTTAAAGGAACCCCCTGTGAGGTGCTATGTTGGGACGGAGATGTATCAATGTCGAACGGTCCATTGCTTCTGCCCTCCTGCGGCGCCACTTTCAGCTGCTTCAACGCCTCCACATAAGAGCTCTTGTCCTGCGAAGCGCTGTGCGCGTGTCGACTTTTCGACTCTCGTTGAGGGTGGCTTAACAAGAAATTAGGCTGGAAACCGCCATATTAGGTTTAGCGTTTGGGGTTTAGCATTTAGGGTATTTAATAGGGGTCCCATTGTTTTGACACATACCCAATATCAGCACCGACGATGTACAGTCATTCTCAAGGAGTAGATGCGGTTCGTGCACTAGGTGGCAAGCTCGCATGTTGTTCTGCCTTCCCAGTCGTAGAAGGGGCCGTAGTCGTAGGAACCACACACACACACACAAACACACACGGCTCCTTTGTTTTTGTTTGAGGGGGAACCCTTTTTGTGCTTAGCATAGGTGTCCTTTGTGCGAAAATAGATGGCCCTGGTAGTTGATTGAACCACCAGGTAAACCAGGGCCCTCTATTTTTCTGCCAGTTCAACCAAAAAGGACACCTATGGTGCTTGGTCTTTTAATCCGAGCCCAAAAAGAAGCCGCGATTTTGGGGTGTTCGGGGTCCCCAGACGGTTCGGGCACCAGACTTGGGAGCTCCTTGCGCATCTCTGGGCTGAGGCCTGCCAAGCCCAAGGCGGATTCCAAGTGGACTCGTCTTTTTGGAGTTGCTACCTGGTTTGGTGGTCTTAAAGAGAAAAAAACAACTGAAGGAAAACCGCCGCGCAAAAAAGAAAGAAAGAAAGAAAGAAAGAACGGGACGCGCCAACATTTTGAGTACCAGAACAAAAGACGCCTGCCCTGGCGCATTGTCATTGATTGCAGGGGGCCCAACGAGAAGTGATGCGGAGCACTTGAGGGAGGCCCCGGGCCCGATTTTCAGTGGGCAAACGAGAGTACCGGGGGCCAATTGGCATGCACTTGCGGGAGTGCTGAGATAAGTGTCCCCTCAAGGGCTTGACCTTGGTTGCTGTTGACCCCTCTGCAAAAAAAATAGTTCCACGAAAACAGTGATTTCCCCAAAAGTTGCAATTCAAAAATCCAACCAACTAGTACCATGCACGAAATGCTGCACGGTCCTGAAGGAAATGCCAGAAGCCCTATTCTTGGCAGTCTGACACCGGCGGAGTGCTTTTTGTTGGGTGTCTAGTACCGTGCTTGGGCGAATGGGGATCTTCATCAGCTCCTCGAAAGGCATGCTGGAGAACTCCTCATGAGCGCTGTACTTTTCGGATGAAAAAGTGTGCCGCAGTCAGCTAGATGGATCCCCAATTGTAGCTCTTGGGAAATCTCCGAAAGGCGTGCTATCGGCACCCATGGAATCACTGCTGGCAGGGCCAATCAATAGCCACTCCCTCTCAGAAGTCTTCCCAGGAAGGAAAGGATTCAAAGCACTCAGAATTTGTTGGGGTCTTGAGAAAAGAAGGAAAGCCAGCAGATGGAAGGATGCCAAGCCTTCAAGCCCGCTTTCCGGAGCCCAAGGCTTTCGCGCTGACTCCAGCCTGTCTGTGAACAAAACTCCGGCAGCAGAAACACCTGCTCGCTGGCCTCCGAAACGACGGGACGGGACGGCCCCATGGATCGCCCGGCATCGGACGGGGGGCTCGTGTTTGCTTTCTGTGTTCTCTAGGTTTTGGCCAGCCCTGAGCTTTACGTTGCGGAAACCAGGTGAGTACCAGCGTCTTGGCCGTTACACAGCAGCGCCATCTCCTACACATTTGCACATCGAAGTCGCAGCGCGACACCTGCGATTCTCAAGGCGCAAAATGCAAGAACCACTAGAGCACGCAAAATTGTCCCTGGCGTAATTAGGTAAGTGCACTGGGTGTTCAGAGTCGGCGAGTCACATGATGTCATCAAGCCTTCGTATATGCATGCGGTGCGTGCTGGCATGCGCCGCGGCGTAGCTCTGCACAGCGGGGTACCCGCAGGCTGGAAAGAAAACACAGTGTGTCCAGCATGCACATGTCGCATGATTTATGGACATGCCTTCGCTCTTGTGAAAACCCATCATGATCAATCTCATCCTCGCACGCTTTCTCAACATGACCCTTCGGGCCAACGCTTGCCTAATGTGGTTGTTCGCCTTTGTTTGCTGCTTGTGCGCACACGCTTGTTTGTTGGCCAATAGTGCGTGCGTGCAGCATTTGTGCATGCGCGTGCGTGCGCGTGCGCGTACGAGTGTGCGGATGCAACTACTCGTGCGCGCGCAAACGCGCGCATTTGCGCGCGCCCGTGCCCGTGCGTCTGCGCGACCACATGCGCACGCATGCCCGTGCCAGCGCGCGTGCGCGTGAGCGTGCTCGTGAGCGTGCTCGTGTGCGTGTGCCTGTGCCTGTGCCTTGCCTGTGCAAACGCGTATGCGTTCGCGTGTGCGTGTGCGCACACTTGTGCGTGTGCGTGTGTGTGTGTGCGCGCGTTCATGTGTGTATGTGTGTGTGTGTGTGCGTGCGCATGGTGCGTGGTGTGTGGTGCGGCGTGCGGGGCGCATGGTGCGTGGAGCGTGGCGTGTGCGTACTCGCGTTCGAGCGCGCGTGCGAGCGCGTGTGCCTGTGCGTGTGGATGTGCGTGTGCGTGCGCACGCACGCGTGCGTGTGCGTGTGAGTGTGCATCTGAGTGTGAGCGCGCGTGCCGTTGCGCGCACGCGAGCGCGTGCGCGTACAAGTGAGCGTGCGCGTGCGCGCGTGCGTGCGTGCGCGCGCGCGCGCGCGCGCGC